GAACTAAATAGCCTTAAACTTGCATATTCCTAGTGCCATATTTCATTTTATAAGTACCTTTAACATTACAACAAAATCATAGCACGTTTTCTATATATCTAATAAATGCATTTCAAATATATTCCCTTTGATGATTATATCAACTGCAACTTGCTTTAAATTAAAATTATATATAATTCTATTTTTACACATAGTACGATTTCGCGGTTGGATTTATCACGTTTGCGGTTAAAGACAATAGTTTTATATGTATACTCGTAAAACTAACGGCGCTATGTACGTACAAAAACGTACATACCGACCAGTCCATAAATTTAAGTGTTAATTTGAGAAGATTTAATATCTGCTTTCTTAAGAATTGTGGGTTCATCTTTTAAAAAGGTTCCCGATCTAGAACCCACCGTAGGTTGTTTTGCAACTTCCCCATTATGGCACTTATTTTTAACCTTTTCATCGCAAGAGGTTTTAGTAGTAGTTGTTGTCCTTTTATTAGTGACCGTAGTTTTGTTTATTTTATTAGTGCCAGACGATTTAGGGGAAGATCTTTTGCTAGGACTCTCCGAGCCCTGTTGATTCGGCACTCCTTCCTTTTTTTCTCTCGTTACGTTAGGATGATTAATTGTAGATTGCGTAACCGGCCGCGTGTTTACGGGTTTGCACGACACGTTATTCAATGACTTACTTGGAATATCCGGCGTTTTCGCAGCATCTAGAAGATTTCTTCGCAAATGGTAAGCGCTAATAGCTGCAGCCCTGCTTCTACTGGCTGCGGTCGAACACTCTAAAGATCTTCGTGGTCTTCTTGTTGCCGTAAGCGGGCTTCTTTGCTGCATCGGTGGTGAATTCTTCTTTGCCCCTTTGTCATAAAGTTGTACTTTGTTCGTTGTTTTTCCTAAAGTTGGAGAAAGTTTGTTTGATGTATTTGACTTGGGCGTTGTTGTTATTTCAGTCATAAGACTGTCTGTGGACATCGAAGTGTCCATCTTATTAGTCTTCTTCTTAACTGTTGCAGGCTTATTCTTCGATTCTGCTAACGAATCTACAGATAAGCCTATTTCTGTACTTTTTTGTTTAAAAGATGGAGATTCTGGACGCGTAATACCGCAACTTTTACTGATCGAGTCCTTTTTGGTATTCGTTCTGCTCGCATTGGATTCTGTTAAACTATCCGAAGAAAGAGCCTTTACATCTTTTTTTATGGGCAATTTTATCTTAGCTAATGGTTTTTTGTCGGTAGCGCGTTTCATTGCCGGACTAGATGTTCGAGACGAGTCTGAAGACGAAATCATTATTTTTCGTCGTTGCTGTATCATAACTTTTTCCAGATGTATTGGTTGCGGGGTTTCTTTTGGAACAGACTTGTTTCTAGGTTCTAAATACCTTGATTTTACCTAAAAATTAACATATAAACAATTTTGAATGGTAACATTAAATATTTTAAATATAATTTGATTTGCGTAAAAATTTCCGTGGAAATGTTGAAACAAAGTTTGGAAGATTAAAAATGTGGAAAAAAAAAATTACCTCTAATTTATTAGGCCACGACTTTGGCCTGTTTGTTTCTGTAGTAGTTGGTTTATCGTTTTGCACTTTACGTTCCAATGGATCACTTTTTGGTTTATTAAGAACTTTCTTCGGTTGTTGCTGTTGTTGTTGTTGTTGTTGCTGCTGCTGCTGTTGTTGTTGTTGTTGTTGTTGTTGCTGCTGCTGCTGTTGTTGTTGTTGTTGAACCGCTGCCATTTGTTTTAAAGTTTTATGATTGTGTTCAGATATAACCATTTTTACGCGTTTCAAATCCAGACTTCTGTTTGTGGTTGTTGAACGACTTGATGCTGGTCTGGGTTCCTATAAGAAATAAGTATATTTGAAGAAGAGTAAAAATTTTAATGATAACAAATGTGCAACAAAATATAATTTGTGCATATATTATATAACGTTATTTACCTTTAAGAAGTTAGAATGCCTTGACTGACGTTTTACTGTTTCATTAGGTAATATTACAAGACAAGCTAATTCTTGTATTCTACGCCGGAGCTCCAAGTCCATTTTCAACCATGTTGTAGTCCTTGCGGCTCGTGCTGCGTCTCTAACCAAGCATTTTTCCACTCGACTCTGAATTTTCTTCAAAAAGTCAATGAACAAAGGCCCCCATTTTATTTTTTCTTGAGCTTCGTCTTGTTGCGCCGAAGTTAACATTTTATGCAATTTCGAGTAACTTTTACACGCTTGTTCAGGCGGTAAACGTTCGGAAGCGGCCAAGAAATTATCCTCCAATCGACTAATATTCCATGTTAATTCTCGACCAAGAGATTGGAAGTTTTCGTTTCCTAAAACTCCTGCGAAATTATCTGACAAAAATTTCACCGAAGTTTCCAACAAGTTTGAGACCATTCTGAAGACTGGTTCAGCCCAACGGACATTTGGCAAAGTCGCGAGCAGTTTATCACAATCCATCATAGTTTGAAGCACGTTGTCCGTGGACTATTTACAATAAAAGGAAAAAGGAGATAATTATTTTGGTTTAAAAATAAATGATTATATACATCAAATAACACGTACCATATGTACAATATGCTGATGATAACATTTTGCCATAAGTTCTTTTGGAAGCGTAGCAAATGCCTTACATGGCCATATTCGTACGAAATGTCTGGTTACCCAACGAAGAGATTTTCGATACACTTCGTCGAGACCATAGGCTGCTGCTAAAGGCATACACTCTAATACACCAACGGCACATATTTGGCAAGGCTATAAAGTAATGGCAATAATACATAAATTGTTATGTTAATAACAATATATTGTATTTACAGAATTATTTAGATATAAATTATAAATACCTTATGAAATAGATGACAATATTTAACTTTAAGCGTATATCCAATAATTTCTTTAAGACCTTCCAAGCATAACAAATCAGCTAATGTTGCTAGTTCAACTATACTTATAGTATCTGGTATATTACTTTCTCCGCTGTATATGTGGCACAGTGCAAAATGTACCGCATCGTAAGAATAACCAGGCAGAGAAATAACATTTCCTACGCTCTCGATCCATCCGCCACTAAGGATCGCCGCGAAATATTGACAACGAGAACTCAATATACACTTGTGAGCTCTTATACGACGTCCAGCTACATCAATCGTAACATCTGGATTAATTTCCTCTAAGAACATTCTCAACAAATCTTCCCCTAATCTATTGTATGGTCTACTTTATTTTTTATTATTTATTATTATTATTTATTATTCATTTTTATTATTATAAAAGAATAACTACACACCAGCGCCAGAACGACCCATGCTACTCTGCATACTACTCAAATCAGATTCTGATATAATTCCTTCTCCGTCATATTCCCCTGTTAGTTCTTCAAGAGGAGACTTTTGTTTAGGTGGTAGAGATGTGCTCATGACCGATGTAAATTTCCTAGGAAGTGGTCTAACAGATCCATTTGTTCTGGACATTACTAATTTACTTTCGATCCAAGAAGTCTCTGGTATACTGTTACACATACGATAGGTACTTCTATCTTCTTTCACGGTCAACACATCCGTCGAAAGAGACATTACAGGTGTTTTATCTAAATCAGATAATCGAACAAAGTTAGAAGATGTTGACTTTAGATTATGTCCCATGGTCCTTTCATTTTTCTTTGACGTTACGTTTTGTTTGTCGTATACTGTTTCTGGTTTCACATAATCCGGACTTTTCAGTTCACTTTCAATCTTTTTAATCGTTTCGTTTAAAGATTTATGTGTCTCCGATATTTTACTACCTACGGCAGGAACCACTTGGGGTCGATTTATGTTTGGCACTTCTCCGTTTAATAATTCGGATAATTCGTAATCATGATTATCGCTATCAGGCGATGGACCACTACCGCTACTGATATCGAACGTTTCGCTTTTACGCGTTTGCCCTTCGGTGCTCTCGGTACATGTTTTCTCCCACGCTGAAGTCTCAGAATATTCATCTTCGTATTTAGCATCGGTAGCGTTTAGACTATCTACGGTTCTATCGGTTTTCAATTCCGTATACTCGTGCTCTTTTACGCTGACACGAAGTTCCTCGTTGATCACTTCAACGTGGGAATTTGGAGGCGTGTCCCTTACATCAAACTCAAATACATCTTCTGAAGATGTGTCCATGTTATTTGGACCATTGTTACCTTCTTGAAGAAGTTTAGAATTTTTTTGAGTAACACATTCTGCTGGCTTCGTTGTGTCGTTCAAAGAGTGGCTTGAAGAACTGGGCTTTGTTTGTAGCTTCTTCAAGTCTCCCCGATCCACAGAGAGACTATGTGCGCGTTTGTGTTCTTTTCTGAACATCAGTTCTTTTGCAACATGCCCATTATTATTACTGGTGCCTTGCGTTTTGTCGACGTTCCACGAATGTCGCTTAAACGCTGGCCGCGACGAAGACAGGGTTCTTCTTCTCACCACTGGAGAGTCAGACTCTATGTACATGAAGACACTTGGTTTAGCTTTCTCTCTGAGATATTTTTGTTCAATCGACAATTGAGTTTCCCTTGTTGCAATACTATTCTCGCTGGAATTTGTATCATCCAACTTCATCTCCACTTGTTTGTCAGAGAATGTGGAGAAACTTCGCCTGTGAGAATGTTGTACAGTGTTATCTTTGTTCTTAGGTGAATCGCTCAAATCGATAAACATAGAAAAAATATTTTTCTTATCGCCAGGTTCGATAGGTTTCTCAGACTTAACAGGAATTACCTCTTCGTCTAATTTCTTAGTTTTCGGCGCGTTACTTGTGTTAGACATATCAACGTAAAATTCGCAGTAAGATTTACTACATTCATTTTGCTCTTTTTTATCTGTTTGATAAGTTTGTTGCTGTGCAATAGGTTTCGAATCCATATCTTTCAAATTAACGAAAAATCCTAAGCTGCCGTGCTTTTCGTGACTGCTTATTTTTCTTATCGGTTTCTTCACGCATTCTGAACTTGAAAAACTTTGTGACATTCCTGCATGAGTGATGTTTAACGACTTGGGATCATTTTTATTACAATCGCTCATATCAACAACCCATGCAGTCATAGAAGAAGACATTCTTGAGGGTCTCATTCTTGCGTCAGGATCGTTCATGATAACAGAACCACCTGAAACAATCGGTGTAGATTCCGTTTTTCGGCGCACAGTAGGACTATCGGTGGGCTTAGAATAGTCCGAAGTGCTAACACCGCCGGAAATAATAGGCGTAGTATCGTCGCACTTAGTTTTCTTTATCGTATCAGTTCTATTATCTTTTTCTATGATGCAACTTAACGTAACAGGCAAACTGCTGCTACAGTTACCTGACCCGTTGTCCGATTCTGTATGATAATCCGTGACAACTTCGTCACTAGCACTTTTGGTTACCGGATAAATCATATTGGTTCTACTGTTACTTTGCAGAGAATTATTATTTTCTGGTGGCGTCTGATTGATCTCATATTTTCCATTATCCAGTGGAAGATATGGCATTGTATGATATTGACTACCAGTTGGAATTTGAACATCCATCGTAAATTTATTTAAAACGTTGCTTATCGGAATAGAAGATTCGTCAGGAGGAATAAAACATGAATCGTCATCAACACGGTGTCCTGAATATTGTGGTATAGCATTTTGAAACACGAGATTTCCCTGTCGTCGTTCGTATTCTTGCCTTAACACCGAGAGCTTTTCGTCATTTGAGTCCAGCTCAAACGTATTCCTTCTGATAAGAGAAGGTCGTTGTGTATCGTCCGTTAAATTCGTATCTTTATCGTTAGCCTGCTCAATGATTTCTTTTTCAGTATCCACTGTTACTACGTTCGAAACGTTCTCGTTATGAACTCGTGGCACAACATGCCGATCATTGTTTATAATTTTATTATTGTCAGGACAAGGAGAAGGATGTGCACTTTCACCGCTGTCTGCTTCCTTGATTTCTACAGCCAAAGATTCTTTATGCGTTTCTGCCTTTATTTTTTCTTCCATCATAGAATCGTTTCTTCTTATTTTCCGCGTATCAGTGAGCGGTTCTAGGTACTCGGTAAGCTTTAATTCCCTTTCAAATTCTGCTATTCTTTCATGGCCAGTTTGTAAATTAGTTGTTTTAAGAGGTGTAAATTTGTAGCATTGCTCTTCAGCAAAATCGTTAGAAGTACCTGCAGCATATTTAGAAGAACAGGAAGCATATGGTTGTGATTTTTCGTCGTAACATTGATTTTTAACTACACTTGAAGTTGGAACTTCTACTTCATCATTAAGAGTCGACGCGTCGATGAAATAGTAATTACTTGTATTACAGGAACTTTTCTGATTGTGTGTATCATGTGATACTTCATGGTTTGTATTTTCTGATTGTGCATTTTCAACTTGGGAATAACTGGAATGACATATTTTTTCATCTTGTGACTTCTCCGCGGATTCCTCCTTCGTAGATCTCTTTTCAGTATTGGTATTCACAGAAGATGCGTTGTCGGGAGTAACAAATTCAAACGATTCGTTTTCATCACTACCACAGTCAGACTCATAAAATGGATCGCTAAGTACTTGGTTTTCATACTGATAAACTTCATCTGTATGCAACTTTGCTTTTTGAGCATTTTCTGTAGATGAACTAGAGGAATCTATTTGCGATTGTTCCGTATCGAAGGAACAACATGTTGCGCTATGATCATTTGAAGCACATTCCATCAACCCTGATTCTACTAAGTCCTTTATGTGACATGAGCTGTTATAATTATTAGTTGAATTGTAGCGTTCATTGTCTATAACTACTTTTTTATCTTTGTTGTGCATACGCCTAGCACGAATCTTATCTAAATCATCATTTCCAGAAGTATATTCTGTCACTTGCAATTCCTCAAAGTCAGTGCTTGAATTCTCAGATGTGGTGTTTTCATGTGGACTTACAGAACCAGTTTCTAAACCAGAATCAGCCATATCGGATATGGTGGGACTTACATCCACAGTGGCATATTCTCTCACATTTCTTGAACATTCAATGCTTTTTGAATGACACTCTGGTGTTGTACAATCCACATATCTTTGACATAAAGACAAATATTTATGAATATAAATAAAAAAAATATGTTTAAATACTATTTGTATCTAAATATGTAAATAAACTTTAAAATATTATAATTATAAATTGTAACCTTTTATTGGTGTTTAATACTTTATTAGCAGAGGTTGCATTCACAAGTTTTGTGGTACAAGTACTCAAAATAAATTTTACCAATACTTGTTCTTCTTTTGAGAAGTGTGAATTGCTGTATAAGAGCCTGAAAAGTTATAAACTATAGTTAAAATAGTTATGTGGCAATAGAAGTTATCTAATATATGTTACTCTATTATGTGCAATCTATGACAATTATTCTGAAAGTGATAAATTAAGTATTACATGCTGGTTTTCATAATGTACACTGTTAAATAGAGTAAATAGAGTAAAGTATGATTTATTATACAGGTATGAACATAACATTCAGAGAAACTGTATGTGCACAAAAATAAAAAATATGATGATACGGGCAAAATAATTCATTTTACAATTTTTATGTTGTTCACAGTAAAGATAATTTATAACTTTTAAAATTATCAAGAAAAGGAACTTTCTATTTAATTGCAGTATTATAAAATTACATCTAAATACAACAGATAAAACACAAATTTTATATAGTTTAACAAATATAACATATTTTATTAAAGAAATATTTTTAATACATAATTTACACAAAATGCATGCAAATAAACATTTTGTAATTTGCATAAAAGGAAAACATGGAATTTGAAAAATATTAACTCAGGAAAATTTACAGTTGTTTGAATTATATTAAAACAAATGTATTAAGCATCATATTTATTCAAGAGCAAGCATATTTTCACAAATGTTCCTGAGTTAAACAAGAGTTCATATTGTAGGTGTAGCCTGCAATATGTAACTAATATATAGATCTCATAGATACTGCTTCTATGTAAGTGATTAGGGATATGGCAGTACCTCACAAAGCCTTCTATATGATGAAAAATTTCCAGTTTATCAATGATGCAATCAATATGTTTGTTAATGTATACAAAATAAGGCTTGAGAGCCTTGTAAAAGTGTGGAGCTCTTGTTTTAACGATACACTGGTTTGTTCGTATTATATTATGTCCATGTATTATGTTAAGATCACAATACAAAGAATCCGTAAATATGCTACAATAAAACACTCTATTCAGTTTATATATTTATGAACTTATATTTTGTACACATAAATTGCTTTATACAGATACATTCTCATTTGTTACAGTTCAACATTCGTTACACAAACAAATTGTATACAAATGCCACAAATATTACATAATCAAATAAAACTGACTATAAGTAATTTCTAAATTAAAACTTTGTAATATTTTATGATTTTGTACAATATGTAAATCATTCTAATACTCAATATTATACATATTAATTATACAAAATAAATTATATAACAGAAAGTAATTCATTGAAATTTTTTAGATACATCATGCACAGGTTCATAAAAATATTTATATTTTTTATCTCACATATCATATAGAATAATTGATGAATAATTTTAACATTGTCCTGAATGAATGATTCCTTTTGTTTCAATTAATGATGTATGAATTAAATAATATTAGTTATCAATTTACCTCAAAATATTATCTTGTAGATCATTAAGACTTTTTGCAACAATCCGGCTCTCTTCTATACGTTGATGTTTTTTAAATGTTTCACTGGAAGGAAGTTCAGGCTTGACAGAAGCATAAAGCTGATGGCAACAGAGCCATTGATGTATTCTGTCTAAATTTCCACTTTGCTTGTTGTTGCCCCTGCCTCCAGCCATGAGACATGTTTAATGTTTCATACTTGTTCACCTTTAATCCATTAAATTTTCATATACAAAGGTAAAACCAAGAAGATGTAAATGAAAGTAAATATATAAACATCTCTTAAAATGAACATCAATTCACATATAATGAACAAGTATTAGATTTAACACTTTCTGTTTTTACAAATTACAATCTTTATATAGAAAAATTTATTGTAGTAAATATTGTGTATTAATTGTTTACTTTTCTTTATTTAAAATTCAATCTATTTTACATTAATAATGTTCTAAGTATAGAAGGCAAAAGAAGTGGTCAAGCAAAAAGGACATTAATGATTCTTCCTTCAATGTATGCATTGCTGACAAAGTACGTAACAATTTCAAGGTCAATACAGCAGATACCCCTTGCATAGTAATTACTAATCCTTTCATAGTATCTTCAATACATAAATGATGGATATATTTTGATATACGTGTTATATATTATGTTATAAAGTTTACAGAACTGCATATTCGATTATAACTTATTACATAACGTTATCACGGAAATATCTTCAAAAATGCACATAGTATTCAGTGAAAGCATGTTATGTGTTACTTTATTGTTTAACCTTAAATTCAATGTATAATCGTATATGGGTTTGTGAGTGAAATATTTGAATAAATATACGCAACATAAGGTGGTGAACTGGAGTAAAATAAAAATATAAAAGCCAAAAATAAACGCGTAATTCTAGCACAGTTTAAAAGTAGGAATCCACAATTTGAACGGAAAGAGATTGCACTGTGTCGAGGCATGTCGAATGTCGTATCAATTGATTAGTTAATGAAATTTCGTGTTATAATGGACGAAATACGATAGAAGATGCATCATTGAGAAAATATGCTTTCCTGATTTTCGAAAAACATTGATCGAACACACCTTGTTGACTGTCATTTAATGCATCTTTGCACGTATCCTAAGTACGACTTACTTTCGGATATTAAGAGCAACATACACGGGTTAGTACGTTTCGACGTATCATATTTATCTCAAAAGAAATTCTAGACGTATTTAAATACTTTCGTGCAGTACTTTACAACGTCGGAATATCTTCTCAAATATATTTTTGACAAGACTTTCTCAATAATTTATTGATCGCACTTCGTACATATGTACGTACCTCGCATTATTTCGGTTCTTGAACACCGGTCTGGATATATCATGATTATACGGTGTTATGAGCCATAATCCTCTCGTGCATTTTGCCCGACGCGTCCGCTACGAAATTCAGCGGATATTAACGGTATGATACTATCAAACGTTCGCTTGTTTGTTGTTCAAAAGACATAAATATGCGACGAACGTTCTCAATATGAAAGCGTGAGACTGTCTGCTGCGAGCTCCGCTAGGTGACGCGCAAGATCGAGATCAATTTTTTATTTTGAGGTTAGGTACAAGAATGTTCTGTCAAATTCTTCATGGACCATCATGAGTTCTCGCCTACGATGTTATATGTGCTGCAACAGTCATGTTTATTTGATGAATATCAAAGATGAACACAAAGGAAAAGGAAAAATATATTGAAGAATTCGACTTTCCTCACTGCGACGAATCCTCGAAATATGAAAAAGTTGCGAAAATTGGCCAGGGAACCTTTGGGTAAGTTTAATCTAAATCTTTCGCGCGTTTTTAGGTTATGACTGTACACGAGTAAAAACTGTTCGTTATTTCTCAATCCTGATGATCGTTCTGTAGGGAGGTGTTCAAGGCTAGAGATAAGAATTGTACTAAAAAATTCGTAGCTATGAAAAAAGTGTTAATGGACAATGAAAAGGAAGGGGTATGTACACGTTCAAATATTCGGTCGTTTAACGAATCTCTTTCCGTTTTTTGTCCACACCTTTTGATTATGTAAACATACAAAATGTTTATATAGAAACAGTAATTTATCATACTTTTACCGTATTCCGTCAAAAACTTTGTATTTCTATTGATAAAATATACTTACTCCTTTCTGAAATATCTGGTAGTAAAATATCTGAAATATACCTCTCTTTGGAACATTAGGATTCAATATAACATTATCTATTTCTTTTACAGTTTCCTATAACTGCTTTAAGAGAAATAAGAATATTACAGTTACTAAAACATGAAAATGTAGTCAATTTAATAGAAATATGTAGAACACGAGGTAAACATTTTATGCTCTCATGTTCCAATTTGTATCTCTTGTAAGAACTACAACATGAGTAATTTTGAAAATTTTATTTTAGCAACTCAGTACAATCGGTATCGTTCTACATTCTATCTTGTATTTGATTTCTGTGAACATGACCTAGCAGGTTTATTATCAAATGTGAATGTCAAATTTAGTTTAGGAGAAATTAAGAAAGTTATGCAACAATTGTTAAATGGTCTTTATTATATTCATAGTAATAAGGTAAAAGCATATAATTTACATAATTAATGTTCAATTAATGTAAATGTTCATTAATTTCCATATTTTTTAATAGATTTTACATAGAGATATGAAGGCTGCAAATGTTTTAATAACAAAAAATGGTATATTAAAACTAGCTGACTTTGGGTTAGCACGTGCATTTAGTGCAAACAAAAATGGTCAACCAAACCGTTATACTAACAGAGTTGTTACTCTTTGGTACAGACCACCAGAACTTTTGCTTGGTGATAGAAATTATGGCCCTCCTGTAGATTTATGGGGTGCAGGATGCATTATGGCTGAAATGTGGACTAGGTCAATATATTGGTCCAATAATTTTAGCAATACTTATTAATATGTAGGTATATGTTTTGATGATTTAATTCTGTAGGTCACCTATAATGCAAGGGAATACAGAACAACAACAGCTTATATTAATTTCTCAATTATGTGGTTCTATAACAACAGAAGTATGGCCTGGAGTAGAAAGTTTAGAATTATTTAATAAAATGGATTTGCCTAAAGGTCAAAAACGAAAGGTAATCTTCACTTTTGATAAAGTACACATGATTGTAAATTATGTTTAAAAACAAGCATTTTTCCATAGGTCAAAGACAGATTAAAGCCATATCTAAAGGACCCTTATGCTTGTGATTTGTTAGATAAACTTTTAATTCTTGATCCATCCAAAAGATATGATTCGGATTCTGCATTAAATCACGACTTTTTTTGGACCGATCCAATGCCTTGTGATCTTAGCAAAATGTTAGCGCAGCATACGCAAAGTATGTTTGAGTACTTAGCACCACCAAGACGTCCCGGTCATATACGTCATCCGCATCATCAAGTACCTGGAGGACCAGCGAAACCTAGTTCTAGTATGGCTGACAGTTGTTACCAAGATCGTGTATTCTAGAATACTTTGTTCAGACACATGTGGACTGCCCTTTACTATCCATATCCTCTTCATCACTTAAAATTTTGGTGAACCATACAATGTTTGACTTCATTCATAACGTTAAGATTTTAAGTTAAAGTTAAATGTCTGATTTATACAAACTCTTCATTATACATATATATAAATTTTGTACAAATAGAAGCAGTCTCCTGATTTAAGCCTTATATTTTCAGAAATATTTGCTTAGTATTTTTCCAGTTATTTGTGTACTATGTTATACACAATGCTCGATATTTATGAACGAAAGGATGAAATTTTTATACAGACCTTATTTTCAATTTTATAGTCGTTACACATCGGAATCTTTTAATGTCCCCTTACATTTTCACATTAATGAAACGCTCGTGACCACTGTGAAACAGCAAGGAATAGTATCTACTGCCAATTTACGGAAACGTTCCCTGAGATAAGAATGAATTTATTAAAAACAACGTTTAAAATAAAAATAATTACTAACTGTCGTTTTAAAAGACAGATTTGCAAGTGTATCATGTCAAAACAATATTTATTTCAATAAACAAATTTCAACTTTACAATGATCTTCGTGTCAATAGTGTTATATAGTTAATAATTATAAAAGAAATCTTAAACACGTACGAATCTAAATTAACTAAGTTTAAATTTTAACAATTCCTTATAGTACTCATGCAACAAAGAGCAAGACAATTAGCGAGTTTAACAGCGTTCAGCAATTGTACATCCAATTTCGCGTGTCTGCATTATCATTGTCATGAGAAAGCAGTGTCGTGCGTAACACCTAGACAAAAAACAAAATTGAAAAATATGTACACAAAATCGTATGCCCGTAATACTTTGTTATTTTTTGCTTTTACAGCTGTATATATCGTTATTATGCTAAAATATACTATTGAATTATCAATATCTGTGAGGTACAGATAAGTATGATTTATATTAAAAAATAAAATGATGTGACAGTGGTATTTATCACCGGATATAAAAATACAAATAAAATTCTTTTAACGCAGTAACTGGCTTTCTTTTGAAAGTTCCATTGCTCGTTTTATGGTCTGCGTGTTAGATGAATGATCACTGTAACGTATTGATGAAATGGCGAACACACATTCATATCACATACACTCTTTAATCATCGTCGTTCTTAAGAAATTGATCCAATGGATTCGGACCCATCCTCCTCGGCTTACTTGTCGATGATTTCTCCGTGCTCTCGGCTGAAATAAATTCACAAAAAATGATTTCAATTGTTAGAATGAAACATTGCAAAATTAAAAATATTCTCAACGAGAATAATTACACGTCGTAGGGCGTTGGGCATTTAGACAACTGAACCATTCTGTCATGCTGATCTTTCTGTCATTGTTGATATCACAGTATCTAGGAAGTCTCTTGCCGCATCTTTGAAGCTGCCTGTTATTTGCTATCATTGTGCGGAAACTTTTCCATTCTTTTCTTTCCAGAACCTAAAGACAATTATACTTCATAGTTTTCATCTATTGAATTGTTTATAATATTGTTTATAAAATTGTTTATAAAAAAAAAAACAATTTTAATCCTTGCCTTATTTTTATTTTTATCGAGCATGACAAAATGCCAGGTCGCTATTTGTTCTTCTTTAGAAGCTTGCCACTTAGCTGTCGTCTCATCTGATTCCGTACCGGAAGCTTTCATCTTTTTCTGCAAGAGGTCCATTAAATCTCGTAGAAACAATTGTTTCTTTTGTTCGGGACAACCTATTACCAATTAAATATTTCGTTTAACGTACCATTATGTGAATTACCGTATAACGAGGACTAATAAAACTGTATTATCTTAGATACCTTTCATAGGTCTGCTAGGAGTAGGTACTGGATTACAATTTGGAGTGCGATCCTTCGAAGATGTTCCAGGAATTGGTTTACCAGTATCTTGGTATACACACCAACAATAACCAGAATAACACTGCACTCGGTGGTACCTTCCATCGGGTGTGCATTCAGGTACGTAAAATTTCTCCTGAGAAAGTTGCCTCTCGTCCTCTAATACGGATCGTCTATCCGTTAAACAATCGTTTGCTGCAAAATTTCATATTTTATAATTTAATATTCTGTAATTTCACTGAATCGTCAAAATGATCCAAAACGCTATTTCTTTCAACCTGAATTATCCAGAAATATAATTTTTCAATTATCCTACCTAAGAAGTGTATTGAAAAAACAAATATTTACCATCGCTATCTTCTTTCGTATCGATAGGATCATCGTTGAATGATGGTCGAGAATGCGCAGGGGCAGGATTGCCTTTCAACACTGTGAAAAATAGAAAATAGTATTACCATGGAATTTTCATACATTTCAATCAGCTAAATCGGCCCTTTCACCGGAATTCTGAGATCAATGTTAATCGTTATGTACAAGGGAAACGCATTTTTTTTTTAGAAACGTTTTATCCCGGATCAGTGTACACAGCGAGAACATTATTTCTCTGTACAGCTTGCGATCGTTTCGTACGATCTGTTAATGCAGCGGTTAATTTAGAAAAAAAAAGAGACTCGTATTTACACGTACAGGTGATCACGACGTTGCACGTTTCTTTTTCTTTTTTTAATTTTGACAAAAACCGTCACCACCCGACAAACAACAACATTCACACACAGACACGTACATATTTCTCTTTTTATTTATTTTTTCTTCTTTTTATTTCTGTACATGCACGATATTAGATTAAAAGCGTTTTTTTATGGATGATAGAGTATAATACACGATATATGCTGTTTTTGAAAATCATTTTCGCAACTTTTTTCTCGTTTAGAAAATTACACTATACAATCATTATGAGTAAATGGGTGGTGACGCATGGATTAGAGGAAAATAATCGCAAAGAGATCGTTCTTTTTTATTTCATTTTTTTTTTTTATCGATAAGAATCAGTGGACTAGCACATGCTTATAAAAAGTAGCATTGCCACGTTGATCGTTTAAAATGATTCAACCGTTCCACGAAACTGTACAAATACACTTAAATGGTTCTAAATGACATTTTAACAGCTCGACAAATTGAAATGTTTACCGTGGTGGAAGTTGACACTTCCTTCTAAAATTATGTATCATTTTTAGTCGCGTAAAGTGTACGAAGATCAAGTGAGAATAATTTCTTCGAGTAAAATCACTATTACCAGCTCGTTTACGGGGACTTTTGCGGATTTCGTCTGACACGTTAACGTTCGATTTCAAGAAAAAGGAAATATTTCTAAAGTGAATATTATTCCCTGTTAGACACGTCGAATAAAATATCCTGACGGAAATGTTTCGCAATTTAACATCTTCCACGCTGTTACGCACAGTTTATGAAGCAATCAATGTCAATTAAACAGTAGACAGTCAATTCTGCTTCGTGCTAACGTAACGTCTTACGTGTCGATACGATCGTTTAAAAACTTGCAACAATTAGGTTGCGAACTTCTTCTTTCGTAAATCTCTTTCACTCCATGTATATCTTGGGCAACTTTCTCGAAGCAAAAACGACTGTGGTCGTCGATCAACGGAAGCCTGTGGAATACATTTGAACATTTTATTATACTCTCTCATTTCTCTCTCTCTCTCTCTCTCTCAAAAAAAAAACAATTAAAATATCGAAATAAAAAATTGAAATCTTTATCGATCAAAAAATTTCAAAGAATGTTTCCTTTTTCTTAAATCCGCAAGAATCCGCGTAACTGGGTAATAGTATCCACCACGACGATATAAGCAAAGAAATGTTTACAACATGAATGAAAAATACGCGGAGATGACGTGACAGTGCTGTTCTTTTTTTTTTTTTTTTTTGATGTGCAGAACTAGGGACTCACCTTGGTCCGTGACCCGGGTCCTCTGGGCCTCAGGGACCTCGGGGCGCTCGTCTGCGGGGTTCAGCGACAAGAACAAACGTACTAAATGATAACAATGATGTCACTCAGCCGACCGGCCTTACCTATATGTACAATGTTTTTTTGTCATTCGCGCATCGCAGGTTTTGCTAGCAGTGCAGCGAGCGGTGGCGAACATCGAATAGGGTGGTCAACAGAGTTCTCAGGCAGCAGTCTCTCTCTCGCGCGCACCCCATACACTTTCCGGTGTTCTTACGTGTAACAAAACTACGTTTACGAGTATAACTATTGTCCTTTTTTTTTTTCTTTCGAAACGGAAGATTTTCCCTTTAGCTTATATATTCTTTTTTTTTCTTCCATGATTTCTGTTTTTTTTTTCTTCTTTTTTTTAATGGTAGCAAATTGTCAGGGGGAATTCGTGGGGGTTCATGCGCTGCTCTTGGGCGTGTCGTTTAATTGAAGATCATGCTATGGACACGTTAAACGTGCACTCGGAGGAAACACTTTGAAAATTGCTTTCCGATGATAATTTTGTGAATGGAAAAGTTTCTGGACTCAGATTGCAAACATTGTATTTCTTTTTGTTTTTTTAATTTTAAGAATTTTGGATATTTCACGTTACGAAGTAATTGTTTCTAATTTATGAAGGTATCGTGCTTTCGTTTTTTCACTGTTTTCTATTCTACCATGATGAATGACTGAATTCAGAGTCTTGGAAGTTTCTTAGAATTCCAAACTAATTTTTCAGAATCTTGCAAATTTATTATAATTCAAAGATAATTTCTCAGAGTCTCGGAACCTTATCAGAATTCAAAGATAATTTCTCAGAGTCTCGGAACTTTATCAGAATTCAAAACTAATTTTTCAGAACCTTGGAAATTTATTATAATTCAAAGATAATTTCTCAGAGTCTCGGAACTTTATCAGAGTTCAAAGATAATAATTTCTCAGAGTCTTGGAGCTTTACTAGGATTCAAAGTTACTCAGAATAACAATTAAACATTTTCTCCGAGGGCAGTTCTTAAATTCCTGCGATCTATACGCGTCGATTAAGGCACCTCAGCGCGAGGATTCAATAGGTGCATGCTCGTCCGTGCACGAGGGGTTATTTTGCAGTGTACCAGGAGTGTGATAATCGTGTTCTTTTTTTTTCTCTTGGCTTTTGTTTTAATCCTTTGTACATTCTCTGTGAAGAAACCGTGAGCAGAGGCGAAGGAAATTCTACGAAGAACCCAGGGGAATGATAGAAAACGTGATTACACAAAGTTACAGATAGCGACAACTGGAAGTTATAAGACTCGATTATTACCGGGTCACACGAGTCGATACCGAAGAATCCTGGGTCGAACGTGATTACTTGACATGCAATTGACCACGATTCTACGTATCGACCGATCTACCAGTGCTTCTACTCCAACATTTGCGCACCGATGCAAAACTACCTGCTTTAGAAGATAAGAAGCACGAGATTTAAGAAGCGTTCTACAGTAGACAAATGCACGGGAATTCAATTTAGCAGCGTCTAATTCTTTCATTCTTAAGAATCTCCATAGGTCGCGATATTGCAGCAATTTCAGGCGTGGTATATGTAGAATGTGATATGTAGAAGATCATTTTCAATTGTATCTTAACGATTTTACCCTCTCTCGTTACTATATCCTGCTGATTATTAAAGGTTTACTCCCTTCGTTCCAAAGGATCAACGAGGAAATCGATCGTAGATTATCTATTCCCTAATGAGAAGAGGTAAGAATCTATCAAATAACAGAAAACTGTACTATGTTACCCTCGTCAGTTTCTCTTCAATGCATCAGAATTTTATCCTCTCTATAAATGGCACTTTTTATCATATTAACCCTTTGGGTACCAATCTACTTCCTAATGAAAGAAGGTGCAAATCTACAAAATGCACAACTATTAAATAACACGAAACTATACTATATTACCCTCGTCAGTTTCTCTTCAGCGCGTCAAAATTTCATCTTCCCTTAAAATAGCACTTTTTATCAAATGAACCCGATGTAATTCAAATTCACAAGATCTCGTTCGAAATGAATTTAAACAGGCCGAAATAAACGATACGATGCAAATACTAACGCGATCAGATTGGCAAACTGGCTGTATCTACCCCCGAGAAAGCGGGGAACGAAATAAAACAGAAACTAATCGTACGTCGATCGTTCGTTCTGCTTGAACCTTTTCCTTTTTTTTCAAGGCTCGCGCGATAGCTACGGATGGATAGTTTGAAATAGTCTTCATTGTAGTTCGCGTAGGCGCGGATTTACGAAGCGACGAGTCGCGAGGGCGGTCATTCTCGTAGGCCTAACCGCGAGCGTATGGAGCATGTACACGAGGTCAATTGCTTCAATTCCACGGTAGCCGGTCGCAGTGTGGGCAAACTTCCGGCAGGATTCACGAATGTTAAGCGGGCCGGCTATAGAAGACGGCCCTTGGCGTGCGCGACATCCTGTCCCGGCCACCGTTTGTAATTTATACTCACGATTTAGACGCCGAGACGACGGCCGCGACGACGATCTTCCGGTATTATCCTCAAACGACGCGCAATAAGTGACACGCTTTGCAACATTTTTATTTATTGCCGGCAACCGAGCTACTCCTTGGTGCCTGCCGTTTCCTCGATGCCATTCACAATTTCTTTCTACCAACGGACAACGTTTCCTTCACTTCCCATTAGTGGATTATCGAACGAGTTGATCTACGAGTAACACAACTTCAGTTACGATCTCGAGCTTTTGAATTTTAACCCCTTGCATTATGATCTTTTAAGTTTATTTACTGTTTTAGTACTGTATTAGGTGGATCAATTAAATTTGGTAATCCTCAATCTTATGAATTATAATGAAAGTTAAAATTAAAAGACCAAAATCTGCGCTGCGAGTCTGACTCGTAAGGCAAAGTATTCGAAAGAAAATTAAATATGTTAAGAAGATTAAAAGACACAGCTCGTAAGAGACTTCGTAGATTCTATAAGAAGACACTTAATGCAACGATGAAGTGGTAATTTTGTGTTTTTCTAGGAACAGCAAGAAGACGAAATATGCACGACAGAGGAGTTATCTCGAAGAGTTTCGCAAGCGACTATGTATAACGAAGTAATAAGAAAAATACAGTATTCAGAGGAAAAAAATAATTTTCATACGTGTTAAAAAATTGATGAAATTCCATAAAACCTCTTATCAATGATATTGACGCGAAACGCGAACAATGTGAACAATTCGAAACTCGAAAGATCGCAACAAAATGCCGAACGAAAGGGTTATTTCCATGAGATCGCGTGTCCGTAGGAATTAATTCTACGCACAGAGCGACCACGAAACGCAACCGCGAGCGGACTGCACACGCCATGAAGACACCATAGGAATGCACGAAAGAAAAGCGGCGGTCTTCGAGGTCCTGCGAGGCAAAAAAGCTCGCGTATGTTGCATTTATGCAAATATGCGCAACTGTCCGGAGGAAATAAACCGTAGGATCGCCGCGGGACACCCTCTCGTTTCGATTTTTCGTTTCGAATGTATACCTACAGTACGCGCTACGTACTTACACACACGCACGTTTGTTATCTCGCGCGTGCACGCGGTTTATTAAAATGTCAAACGATCGTCGAACGAAAAAACGAAATTTCAATCGGAATGGTGAATGTTCATACATAAATGGAGATCGTTGCAAACGAAGAGGGGCTAATAAAACGATGGAACTATGATACGTTCAGCGTGTTCGAGAGTCCTCTCTCTGTTACCCCCGCGTTCACGTTCGAATAAATTACGCTTCTTTTGCAACAGACATCTTGCTTTATCCGCTCGTAAAACGCGATACAACAGATTATCGTGCCGTAACTAATAAGCCGTATATACAGGATATCTCTCTACTACATATGCTTGTAATTTAATCATCGGTGATTAAAGACGGGTAAGAAAATTTACATTTCATTGCAGTACACTTTTCTCTCTCTCCTTTCTCTTCTTTTCTTTTACTATCACAATTGTTACAACGATAGAGAAAGATTTTTCGTGTAGGTAAGTACGACGATTGATTCGTGAGTAGAGTAGCGATGGTGCTTAAAAAGCGAGATCTAGCGTTTCAACCTTCACCCAGGAAAATGAGGAAAAAGGAGCACCGTGAGCCGGTAATTGCTTCGTAGGCGATTTGCAATGCCACGCGAGTACATAGATTAGCGCGTGGTTAGGCAGCGTTAAATACAAATAGTGATGTTAATCCCGATTTACGATCGATCGTAAAAACCGTATCTCCTACGAATTTACACACCCGCCGGGGCATTTTATAATTTTTTTTTTTTTTTTTTTTTAATCAGTTCCTTATAACGAAGTTCTCGCAAAATTGCACCGGGTTGGATTTGTCCGGTGAATTTCGAAAGAACTATCTGTTCGTTTAGGTGGATAACGGATCGTGTATCGGCCGGACGGTGGTAGTAATCGGGGTTAACATCACACGATGTTCCATTCCTGCGCGAAACAACGATCTTCGATCCTTTCTTTCGTTTCTTGACGAACGGATTATACGAAGAACAGGCCGCGCCGCGGGATTCTGAATTACATTTGCGAAAGGAATTTTCATCTGGCATCGATGGTATGCGAGATTGTACAGGATGGTTCTAAAAAACCGGACAACTTTTACATTTCTAAACAAAAGTTTGTATATCTTAACTAGATTTTGTTTGAGGAAAAATTTCTTCGAATTGATCTATTTAATTACTTACAGGAAGATTCTTTTGAAGTACAGAAAATGAAACATCAGAAATGTAGGTAAAGGAAGCAGCGAAAGATGAAAGAAAAGAAGGGAAAAATGATATCGAAATTTTTCCATCACTATTATTAACATTCGCTCAAAACAGGAATTAGAAAATTTCTGTTCCGGTATTTAGAATCGTCCTGTACATCCAAGTGACGATCCTAGAGAGACAATCTTTGGTGGCGCAACAGCGTGGCGCCGCTTTGCAAATATCGCCGTGTTCAAAATTGATTTATGCACGCAACAACCTCGCTTGTGACCTTGAGAACTCTCGTCTACTAGGACAACGAAGTTAACGATGCTTGCAGTTCGAGTTTGACAGTATAGCCTCGAAGATCGATTCACTTTACAAGAGCAAGATGAAAAAAAAAGTAATTGTTCTTCAGATCAACTTCATTCGTTGGAAACTGCATGAAAATCTTCTGAAACGATCGTGTATCTATATAGTTTAAAGCTGAACGAAAGAATCGAAGATCGTTAGGATCGCACAAGCATCGTCCAAGAGGCCAAAAGGGGTCCTCGAGATTCTCCCTCTTATCGTGTGAGAAGCACGTGCACCACGTGTTAAACTTACGAGTGAAGTCGTTCGCAAGGCAGGCACCCCATTCTTGCCTGGAGAGTTTCAAATCCCGATTTAGGTCGCACGTGCGGGCAAACGTGCGAGCACATTTCTTCGGCCTTACCGCCTTCTTCGCGAGCCTTCTCAGCTCCTTGTACTCTGCCCTGTCCAGGTAGCCATCCCCGTTCTTGTCGAGCGTTAGAAATTTCCACGACAATACTCGTTCCACGTTTTTGTCACCTGTCGAACAAACGAACAATCAATATTTCTATTTTTTTTCTACCACAGTTAATCGATCTTTAATTAAACGAGTGAGGAGGAAGAAGAAGGCGAGGATTCCACTGGACTTTATCTTCGGTAAATGGAAAAACATTAAGAATTTTAATAAATGAACAACTATGGAATCTTTTCCTTCTTCTTCTCCATTTCAATATTATTCCTTTTTCAATTTCAATAGAATTATTGTATACTCGTTTACTACATCTACTTAACATTGTTTCTGATCATTTTTCTGTGCTTCTTTTCAAACAAAATGAAAGTAAAAATGTTGCGTACGATTTCCAGTGAAAACTGGGAGATAGAGAGTGTTGAAAAAATATTTTTCAATATTTGCAGCTCCTTTAACCCTAGTGCGTTCTTCCGGTCGCTTTCGGCCCGAAGATCTAAGGTGTAATAATTTCTGTTACCAGCACGCCATACGAACCTAGACAATAACCATTTGATACAACGTCAAAAGAACACAAACTCGATAACACTAAAAGTTATTAAAAAACCAACAAAGCGACGGGTCAAAAAAGACCCGAACACCGCGCTAGGGTTAATCCTATCGTTATACCGGTTCAACGAAGGACTTTTGTCCAGCTGTAAGAACACAGGCGTATCATTTGTCTCTTCTCACCGTCTGCCGAGATATTCGTCCGCCTGTATTCGATCTTGAAGTTTTCGATCAGGTTCCCGTTGAACTTGGATTTCTCAGCTCGATCACACGTATTCCTGTGCTTGCTGTTGTACTGCCTTCGCTGCTTCCAGTTCGGCGAGCGCCTCCTTTGGCCGCTCCTGGTGGAAGCAGCAGATCTGGGACCAGGTTTCAAACATCTTGGTCTTTGGTGTCTTACCGAGGTGTCGGGCAGCGGTCTGCCCTGCGGCGTCACGCACCAACAGTACCCGGTTTCCTCGTGACATTGCACCGGTTTGTAAGTGCCATCCGGACGACAGACTGGTCGTGCACCCGGCCTGGCGGTCAGTCTTGCGGAGAAGCACGCCGGTGTCTCTGGATGGACAGGTTCAATCATGTGGTTCCTCGTTAGACGTTTTTTCATTTTAGCTTCAGACAGGTATTTCGATACGTTTCACAGTTTTTTCTTTTTTTTTGTCACGGTGATATTCAAGGAAGGGGACGAAAGGATTCGCTGCAAGATGTTCCTTTAACAATTGCTCTGATAATTGGGTTATTTAAATATAGCTTTCTATCTCTCTACTTTACGAATTTTAAGAGATGCTCAAGGATTCCAACGCACAGTGTTTCAAGTACCAAACAGTAAAATTTTCAGGGGAAGAGAAAGAGGAAGGGACATGTTGTACTTAACTTTCGTGTAATTATTCTTCAAGAAATGTAGAAATGAGGGCAAAATATTTTTTATTTTTTTAAATTCCTTTTTTTGTTTGAGAAGTGCTAAGATTGCTCTAATAGCAGCATCAATTATTTACAATGGTACTTGCAACTAGGTATGGAACCCTTCATTTGAAGTGTTCGTGCACATTTGTTAAATAATGAATAATTCAGCAAGATATTACATATTTGTTTAAACAAAAATTTCGAGTTTCAACTATCGCCGAATTTTTCTATCATCTTTCTAAAATTGAGGAAATTCTTAATCGTTGATCTCTCGGCGTTTAATCTCGAAGAAACAGCGACGTTAAAAATATTTTCAGCATTGTTCGGGCAGAGTTTTGCACGAGGCATGATTATACAGCGAAGGTGTAGTAATAATTACTAACATTGTTACGAGAAGAATGTATCATCCTACCTGGACAAGGGCCAGTGTGTTTGATAAGAATAGACATGCCTTGACACTGCTTCGAGATGACCCGACACTGACTCGAATACGTAACACCGTCGCTCCCACATACCGGTGTGCTTGCACCGTCACTCATTGTACACTCAGCTATCCTTTTCCTGCACTCCTCCTAAAACACACAACCCACACGATGCACGATAAGTATGCTAAACGTCCAACTCGCTATTACGACAACGTAAAACGTACAGTCAATCTTTTCTTAATACAATGCCAAACGATCGATTAGACGTTGTTTAAACAACACGTTGAAATACTCGTACAAGGTTGTTTTTTAATTAAAAAGCAGTATAATACGCGATATTTAATTGTGCTGATGATTATGAAAGTGGTTTAAGTCAGAAATTAAAAAAAAATTGAATTTGTAACTTGTTTCGCGTTGCGTCCATTTGTTCGTAGAAAATAGTTTAGTTTATCACAGAGTGAAGAAATATTTTTTAATAGATCCAAAAGAGAAAATTCCAGATACTTCGAAATGAAAAATATGACTTGTAGCTATTTAGGCCAATTATTAAATATTTTCTATAGCTTATAGAAAATACTTTTAGATGATAAGAATAATTGAATTTTTCTTATCGCGATCGTCACAATTCAGGGAACAAAAAGACTGTCACTGAGTAATACCACATTTTTATCGAGTTCTATCCTTTTTTCGAATTTCATATCCTGGAAAATGTCACGCATCTACGATGACTAATAATACCGTGAGTCATTTTACACATGCTCTTAATACAGTGAACAGAAATGCAGCAGCGTTACAAAACGCTGTTTCCCGTTTTTATGACTTCCCTATAACTGGACACGACAAAGAAAGAATGAAAATTAAAACTGGCCGGACGTTTCACGGGATGACTAATTCTTTCATGATTTTCCTCGAATCCATCCACATCGTTTTGTGTTCCGAGAAGATTGCTAATGCATTTACGCTATCTTTCGTGACCTCTTACGCGCGTCTGCGAATCGCATTTCTTATAACCAATGACTGGTTAACACGGTGAAATCTTCGAAAAAGAACTAACCTTGCGAGATAAATCACTCTAATGAAATAGCATTTAATCTCCGTCGTTTTGTCGATCTGCTGTGCAAAGACGATCGTGAAATATCCTCTCCAAGTTTAACAGTATATTGCACTAATCGTAATATGTACTGAGAAAGAAAATTTTTTTTTTTTAAGCTTTCAAAATTGTGACGAAAGAAAATTTGTAGAAAAATCAAGAAATCGAGGTGTTTCTCAGTTCAATCGTTGCCTACACGCCATACTTTTTATTACTATACCGTGTTAATTGCATTAATGAGCAAAAGAATCGAAAAATTTATCTAAGTTGAATTTTGATTGAAAATTTTTATAAAAATCAAGAAATTGAGCTGTTTTTCTGTTCAATCGTTGCCTACGCCTCACATTTTAATAGTATAAGTTGAATTTTTTCCCAAGATTTTAAAATTGCGAGGAAAGGAAATTCTTAGAAAAATGAAGAAATCGAGGTATTTCTCGTCATTTCAATCGTCGGCTACTCCTCATCTTTCCCAAAACACGTAACACGTTATCTTATCATACGGGAGAAGACGCAAGAATAAAACGTGGCGGTGAAAAGTGGAATTTATTAATAGAATAAAAAATGGCCCGGTAGAGAAATGCCGACACGAAAGTTCCAGAATCGAAATTCTTTCCAACTTCGCGAATGATTCACCCGGAATAGTCTGGAACAGAGGCGTCTTTAACACGGAGGAGGCGCCTCTGTCCGGCGAAGAAGAAGGCGCCTCAAATCTATCAGAAGAGGCGCCTCGGATCGTTACGTCATGCATTTGCATTGCGCGGAATGTGAAACCCGATTTACGATCTTGAAAGCACGACCGTGTCAGTAATTACCCTCGTTGAAATGATTGAATGTATCACCAAGAAATGCGCTACTAATTACCATCCGTGAAATATTGCCGTCGTCTCGCTGTCGTTTCCTACGTGGCTTTTCGCGTATACACCACTTATTCCAATCAACGTAATCGATAGAGTTAAAGGTACGATACGGAATAATAAATCATTCCAAGTATTTTATAATGCAATTAAACTGAACATTTTTCATAAATTACGTTACATTTGAGACTGCTGTAAATAAAAGAGCGAAGACGACAAAAAATCGAAAAAGTTTTAAGGTAAGATACCGACAGAAGAGAACACAATTTTTTCACATGAAATTACATTTCCTTTAAGAATTTATCAATTTGCTTTAATAGCTATATTTGAATATCTCTTGGGTTTCATTTCTCGCGAAAATTAGAACTTTGTCTTCATTTCGATTTTCACGAATCTTCTTTTCAGTTTATTACAAATTTTCTTAACCCTTCCAGGCAATCCGGGTCATTTCTGACCCGAGCCCAATTTCACTCTCCCATTTCTTCCAAACGAATTTTCATTTTTATTCGAAACAATTTAAAATTCTCCAAAAGTTCCAAAGTAAAATTAAACGAAATTAGGTTAAGTTAAAAAGTTTAAAAACAATTGTATCTCAGAATTTTGAAAATACTAAAGATTCCGATAAGTATCGGTCAATTTTTTCATATTTCCAGAAAAGCTAGAACATTAAAAAAATGTAGTCATGAACGACTCGGTCTATCTATCAAATATGAAAAAATACGTTTACCTACGCAGGGTTACCGATGATAAGCATACTGCGTACGTATTGTACGCGACAGACTCTCCCAATGAAAGCTATAAAATCAAAGTTCACGTCGACCGGTCGAATAATGTTTGAACCTCTGATAGGCAAATAAAGGGGGGACGCGATCGAAAAGTGAGATATAACGGTGTGAAAAGGATCGGTCAGACGTTCTAACGGAATTGCCACGAAAGGAAGGATCGCCGTAGATCTACGGAGGGATCCTTGGAGTGGAGGTGGCGCCCGATCCATCGTGGCACGCACCAGCGTAGTTCTCGAGAATGCGTTACGTCGCCGCGTGCACGCAACGCGATGCAATATACGCGTAATAGGCAGAGTGCGACGCGGTGTAGCGTAGAATAATCCGGGCTACGCGTTGAATGCTAACGCGATCGACGAACGTGCGCTCCGACGTTTGCTTGCCTTGGCGCCACCGCGGACGCGGTTCGAGAAAACGACGCACGCGACCGTCAAATTGTGCCGTAATAGCGATCGATTGCGTCAAATCGTTTCTTTTACTGCCAGAGAAATACCTCGTTACCTTTTATCCCCTTTTAAATAACCGTTTCCTTTTTGTTCTACTCCGATTGCATCGAATGACTAGTTTCTTCTTTATTCTCCCTTCTTTTTTTTTTTCTCAGTAGAGAAATTCTTCGGGCGATCTTTTCGTTTATTTTTAACCCTTTCGTTTCGTAAGGCAAGAACTTTGAAAATTTATTTGGAAGTGTGTTGTTTGAATCTTTTTGACGTATTTCTAGTGTGACTTAATTTTTGAGTTTTGTCCTTTGCGCACTTCCATCGTAATTTAATTTGAAGTAAATTTTAAAACGATACTGTCGATGCGAAACATTTTGTGAGCGTGGTCGAATATTCGCCACGCGTGTTGCGCAATAGAATCTGCGCAGCGAAAGGGTTAAGTAACTCCTTTTATCCCCTAATTTTGCATTGAATACTTTTCTGATCAAAGCAGAGAAATTACTTGGACTGAACCAACTAAAATTTTCGTTTCATTACACAGAAATATGCAACAGTTCTCAATTTTCTTTCCACGTTTACAAAAAAAAAATGATTGCATTTTCATCTAATTTTCACTGCGTCTAATCGTTTTTCTCACAGTAGCCGAGTATTTCACAGAATAATTCTTCCATTTTTTTCAATTTTTTCTTTCATTATTAATTGCAGGTGTTACGTATTACAGCGATTGACCGTGTTGCAGAGCAAGAAGGAAGGAGTACGCTCTGCTATTTTTCCGGATCGCGATTGCGCCGCGGGGGAAATTTACCGTGGACGTAGCGCGATTAAATCGAGTGCAAGCTGTTAAGATGCGTACCGCGTATCATCTCCTTTTCTCGTAATCACGCCGACGCTGTCGGCGGAAGCGGGATAGATTTGTTGGGTTACATGTAATACAGTGGCCCTCTTTGTGTTATTTTCACCGTGTTGGACATTAACTATGCTTGCTCGACGCTAATGCACCAGCGTAGGTGCTCGTGTGGATTCGAGCGTCGAACAACGTTCGATGCAGAGGTACATCGCCGATCAGAAGTGTTAGAACACCCCTTATGTTCGCACAGAAAGTATTGCATAATTTAAATTACATTTCGACGCGAAAGTTAGTAGGTAAAAATATTTTACTATTAATATAA